CCACAACCAAACCATAATAAATAAAAAACAACACAGCAAACCATAACTAAATAAAACATAACCAAAGCATCTATATTACATCATTCATCTTCATTGCCTTTCATCGCCCATAGATGTTCCATCAAGTCAACTTGACGCCTTTCATGAATATAAGAAGATTGCATCTCTATATAACGATCTATCATCCGAGTCATGAAACGACCATCCATCACCAACGGTTCTAGCTCAAACGGTTCTCCACTTGGCCCTATGAGCCTTTCATAAATCCGTGTCAAGGCCGTGTTCATTGGATCTAGTTTGTAGACCTCTAAAGCATCATAATCGTACTCATCCTCCACAATCATATTATGGAGGATGATGCAAGTCATCATAATACTTCTGAGGATCTCTTCATCAAACATACGGGCCGCACCTCGAATAATCAACCATCGAGCTTGAAGGATGCCAAAACACCTTTCGACATCTTTTCTGTATCCTTCTTGATAGGTAGCAAATAATTTTTGCTTATAGGATCGGGGATTCGGAATGGATTTGACAAATGTGGTCCATCTCGGGTAAATGCTGTCAGCTAGATAATACCCCATCTGGTAGATTGTATTGTTGACTTGATAGATGATATTGAGGCCTTGGCCTCTCAAAACATCGTTGAAGACCGGAGATTGACCCAGCACATTGAGGTTATTTTGGGATCCGGCAACTCCGAAAAAGACATGCCAAACCCATGTGTCAAAGCCAGTAATGGCTTCAAGGATGATACTTTTTTGGTCTTTTCTATTTCCGTAATCACCTTGCAAGGCAGTTGGGCAATTTTTTCATTGCCAGTGCATGCAGTCGATGCTACCAATCATTCTTGGAAATCCTCGAGCTTCGACTTTTTGTAGAAGCCGTTGGAGGTTCCTGGAAGTAGGTCTACGCAGGCAGTCCCTAGTGTACAGAGTTTCAACTGCATCACAAAATCTCATCAAAGCCTCCAACGTAGTGGACTTCCCCATCTGGGCAATCTTATCCACCTGATCAGCAGATGCTGCATACGCTAACATTCGTATAACAGCTGTAAGCTTTTGCTCCGGAAGAAGTCCCAAAACCCCAGCAGCATCACACTTTTGAACAAAGTATGCATCATAATTGCAAATATCATACACGACTTTATTGAACAAATGGGGTTGCATTCCAAATCGCCTTCGAAAATCAACATCAGAGTACAAAGCAGTTGGGATAAAATAATTTTCCAAAAGATTCTTACCCCGAGAATGCCTATGTCTGTCCACATTTTGGCGGCGGCCGACTTGTGAACCACGGCAGCGACCTTGGTTCTCTTCATCTTGCAAAGCCTCTACTATGACAACTTGTTCATCGACTTCTCTCTCTAACTCATTGATTTCATCTGCTCTACGGTTTCTCTAATTTGTTTCTCGCTCTTGCCTCTCCAAGCATCTCCTAAAATCTTCCATTGAGAATGAATGAAGTATGAATTCTAAACTATGAGAAATGAAAATATAGAAAGATGTGGTGTGAGAGGTATGAGCTGAGCCACTGGTTTTATAGAAAATTTTGGCAAGATAGAGATGTCATGTGGCTTGATTTGATTGGATAAAAATTTTATTTGAAATTTGAAATTCATAAGAAATTTGAACCCAAATTTATCTGAAATTTGAATTTTGAAATTCATCCGAAATTTGAACCCAAAAATCTTATCCGGAAATTTTATCCGATTATGAATAGTCTTGACACGTAGGAACCCAGAAATCTTATCCGAAAATATTATCCAAATTAATTATTGAGGTTTAAAAATTTGTGAAAAAAACAAAAAAATGAATAGTAATTGCCCTTTGCCATGGTAACGGGTGAAAACACAAAATACTATTTGCAAAGGCAACCACTATTCACGTGAATAGTGGCTGCCCTAGCTCCCCCCTTGCCATGGCTAAGGGCAAATGGGTGGAGTTGCTCTAATTGTCTATACAACCATGTTAAGCACCTAGAACCCTATGAATAACCAACAACACTATCAAGGTTTCTAAGTAGTCTAAGGTACACAATTTGGACTCTCGTGCCAGTCTTGTCAACAAACAAAGTGCAACCCAAGAGATATAACAAATATGCTCTGGCCGAATACATGATATACTCCTCTGAATCTGTGTCTGAAGCATTGGAGAATCGCGCCCGTAACTATGACAAACTCACATACTCATCACTATACTAGTGCATTTGTTCAGTAGCCTCTTCATTAGTCACTCCTAAGTACTTAACTAACAACTCAAAATTTGTGTCGTTATCATTTTCAAGCGGAGCAACCGCTGCACTAGACACA